TGTTATTGCTAACCTCTACATGGAGTGTTTTGAATTTCAAGAGGAGGTAATCACTTTATCGTTCCCAACAAGCCTTGGGATCGGAAACACTACGTAGACGACACCTTCACCATCTTCGATCGCGAGAACTTCGACAGCTTCCTGCAGCATCTGAACCACACACAGCCTACCTTCACTTCACCGTGGAGAATGAGACCAAGAACTGGGGGAATGGGGAGAGCGTCATTGCATGACGTTAGCTCCTTTTTGAAGTTGCCATGGTGGTCTACGAACTAACAAGAAACAAATAAGCTTAAAAGGATCTAAACGTTAGTTCGCTGGACTCATGAATAAATTTTTCCCTTTTATGCACAATTCAGGGTGACGACCAATTATGTTTTCTGTTCTCCTGGGTTAACATCTCAGTTTTGGAGAAAAAAAAAAGGTTTAATAAGGTTTTATTTTTCGGATTGAAAAAGGGAATGAGGATTTGCCGAAAAAGAACAATTTTGAAAAAAACATTTTTACAAATTTTAAAAGCAATCCAATTATAATTTATAGAAAAGAAGCCTCTTGAGCAGTTTGATGATACTTCATTGACTATCCATTCCGATCTGTCAACTTAAGTAAAGAAATACGCTTTTATTATCAGCAATAACGTCATTTAAGGCCATTAACTCGGATGTTAATTATTCCGTCTTCTCTACGTTTAAATAAAAGCGCACTTCCTTCTTAAAGAAGTATCTTGGTTAATTGTTGCAAACGAAAACCAACTTCTGGTACGTTTCTTTTATTTAAATCGTTGGAGAAACTTGCCTTCTAACTGTGCCCCACATCTGCTACACCTTAATGAGCTTTTTATGACGAGGAAATTTTTTGACCATTAGTACAGCTCTTTACACATAAACTGGAATAACAAGCTCAGTTTTCTGAAACGGGTGTTCATTTAAAAAGAAATTTACCTTTACCTTATTCTTCCGCTTGAAGGTTACTCGCTTATTCATTAAGAGTCCGTTGGATCGTTATCACTCAATCAAAACGCAAGTTAAATTACTCTACCGGTGATAAAAATTAGCCCCTAATGCAAGCCTAACACATGTTCTATTTACATCCTGTCAAATTCAAAACTCAACCTCATAATTTTATTGAAAAATGTCATTGCCTTCTTATCCTCCTTAAATATCATGCAATCATTGCATACCTCATAGCAAGTTCAACACTCATCAAAATAGATTACATAGAAGGAAAGGTTTAGGATCAACGTAATGTGTGATTTCTCCGCAACAGCAAGTTCACTGGTCTCGTAATGCAAGCCTAACACATGTTCTATTTACATCCTGTCAAATTCAAAACTCGACCTCATAATTTTATTGAAAAATGTCATTGCGTTCTTATAACATTTTTCCTTCTATCCTCCTTAAATATCATGCAGTCATTGCATATCTCATAGCAAGTTTA